TGGGAGTTGAAGTCCACTCATCTTAAAGTTGCCAAGCTTGAGAAACACTAGCCTAAGGGTAGGTAAGGATGCAGACACACACTCAAGGCACCAACATATCCACTAAAATGTTTTTTATTCCTATTTGCAACCAATTACAATGAAGAGGTGAAGCGGTAGATGTGCATGTACACGTGAATGCAAAAAGGGTACCCAAGAAACAGGGTCTTTATCACAGCGCAGAAGTGAAGTGCTAAACAAAACCTTAATTCTTAGCTTGCCAACTGCAAGATTCTTCCTCCTTTCTTCCACCCAACTGCTTGTCTAAAGGGTTGAATTTTTGGAAGGTGAATCGCTTCCCTCTGCTAGCGTGGCTGCTGCTACTCTGGGGAAAACCTTGCTCCAGAGCAGTGTTTCTCAACCACAGCAACTTTAAAATATGTGGACTTCAACTCCCAGAATTCCCCAGCCAGCATCTTAAGGGTGCTGAGGTTGAGAAACGCTGCTCTAAAGAAGGAGATTCTGTCCCTTTTATTCAAACTCTCTCTAGTTCCAGCACCTGGACCGCCTGGGGTTTGCACTACAGTGGGACTTGGCCCAAGGCTGCCTTTCCTAGAATTGCTCTGGTTCTTCTGCATTGGCTGCAGTGTCCCCTGGTTTCTTCCTGCTTCATCCTGTGCCCCTCCTCTGTGTCTATTATGGTCATCCAGCAGCTACGACGCTCTTTCAGAAGAACACTAGAGCTGTGTTCAGAAATAGTCTGATTGACAAGTAAGAGAAAGAGGGAGAGATAGCAGAGTGTTTGGGGAGCTCCTTCCACCTTCACCCTGCCTTCCGTTAGATCTTCTACCTTCACAGGGAGCTGTATCCATCCACCTAGATTCACCCACTCCAACTGAAGGAGAGAAATACTTCTTTCCTATCAGCAAGTGTTGCTCAGTGGGAAGGAAAATGACGCTACAGGTAGTCCTCATTTAACAACCACTCATTCAGTGACCATTTAAACTTATGACAGTGCTGAACAAGTGGTACTTATGACTGGTCCTCATAGTTGCAGCCATTGCAGTGCCCCCATGGTCATGTGATCACAATTTGCAACCTTCCCACAAGCAAAGTCAGTGGGGAAGCCGGAAGGAAGTTGGAAGCCACGGTCACGTGAGTTCCTTGCTTAACGACCCATGCAGTCCTCATTAAGTGGAGTTCCCCAGGCTTATGGTTCTGGGAGACTTCAACCTTCCGTCCCTGGGGCGGTCTTCGGAGGTGGCTCGGGAGTTCATGGCTACCATGGCAACCATGGGCCTGTCTCAAAGTGTGCGGGACCCAACCTGGGATAGCGGCCACATGCCGGATTTGGTTTTCTTGTCGGAGCAATGGCAAAGTGATCTGAGGGGAGATCTACAGCTTTCCCCGTTGTCATGGTCAGATCACGTCCTGGTGCCCGGAGTTTCTCCTATACCACCCCCCTCTGCAGGGAGGCTGGACCCATGCGATTGGTCCCCCCCCGGCGCCTGATGGACCCATCGGGGTTTCAGAAGGAGCTGGGGGATATTCCCACAG